AAAAGTATTCTGAATGGAGCTTGATTTGTTGAGTCAGCAGATTTGCTGCCCTATTAGACGGCAACATACCTTCTCTCCCCCCCCCCCCCAATCTATTTTTAATGTGAATTGGTATTGAGGCGGCTATTCTTGCAATACCATCCAACTGAATGGCTTCCAGATTTGCCAAGGAGTTCTAGTTTGACTCCTCCTTCTGTTGCACAGTGGTAATGTCACTGACCTACCCTACAGGAGTGTTGTAAAGAATATAACAAAATACTCTGTGTGAAGGATTAGAAAATATTTTTTATAAATGTTCATTTACTGTACTATATGCTGTAACATAAGCTATATAAATAATATATGGATGTGTGGTGTAGCGGTTAAGTGTGAGGCGTCTAAGGGCCCCTCAGTGAAAGAAACTCAGTCGAGGCCCACTGGTGGTTCTGTGACCCAGACTGCAGCTGAGCCAGTTTGGTGGTGTGGTTAAGTGCGCGGACTCTAATCTGGGAGAGCCAGGTTTGATTCCCCACTCCTCAACTTGCATCTGGCTGGATGACCTTGGGCAAGTCATAGTTCTGTCAGAGCTGTTCTCTCAAGGACAGTTCTGGGAAGAACTCTCTCCGCCCCACCTACCTCACAGGGTGTCTGTTGTGGGAGGTGGAGGGAAAAGGAGTTTGTAAGCTGCTGTGAGACTCTGAGTGAAGGGCAGGGTATGAATCCAATCTCTGCCTCCTCCTCCTCCTCCTCCTCCTCCTCCTCCTCTTCTTCTAGTATTACTATTACTAAATGCTTATATAAATGCTTATTTACTACTATTACTACTATTACTAAATGCTTATTACTGTTGCTGCTACAATAATTACTACTGTTATTACTAGTCGTAGTATATTGTAATACCACTCCTTTGGGGGAGTTTTTTTTTAGCATCCCTCATAAAATATTTGCATATCCACTTAAATGGCCTCCCCTCTGTATAAATGTCCTCATTTGCCCTCCATGTCATTGCTTTACAGCTAAATCTCATTAGCTGTATGACGGAACAGACCTGCTATGACTTACAGACCCTGTTCTGCCAGCCCCCACTTTGGCTTGCACCAATTCCTGGAGTGTGCTGTTCCACTCCCTTCCACTAGGTTGCGCTGCCACCACTGTCCTTGTTGGGGGTCTTCCTGCCTGGAGAAACAGTCTCCTGACACCCCTTCTCAAGCTAAGGGTCTCCTGCTACCCCGCGCCCAGTTACCACAGGGACCAAATTCCTCCTTTGGGGGGCCCTGGAGGATTGGCAATGCGGTGTAGCCAGAAAATTTTGGTTGGTGGGGCTTGGGGGAATCAGGGGGGCACCCCGGCCACACCTGCTGCTCCTCTTGCAGTAGCAGAAGCAGCAGCACCTCCAGCTCCAGTGCAAACCCCCCAGTCCTCCTCTAGCTCTCTAGCATAATTGGTTACAAAAGACAGTGGTAATTTGAGTAATAATCCTCTGATTGACCAGATATAAAGAAAAATATATCTACGTCAAACTAAGTGTTTACTTAACCTAACCAAAATGATAATGAGCAAGGATTCTTCATATCCCGAACAAAAGTATTAATTACTGATACGAGACTAAAATCTTATCTGACCCAGACATTGAAAGGTTTGCCCTAAGAACTACAGAATCATGAACTTTGTACCTATTATGTTGTCTGCTAACAATATCAGACCTACAAGAGGAAAGCCTTCTATATAACAGGCCTTTCTAACAGCCTAATAAAATATTACTTAAAGAATAAATCTATAAAAACCAGAGAAGTATGAATATGAACAATCAAGAAGAAAAAAACCTATATATAAAAATCTTTATATTCCCATTCATACTACAAGACCTCTGGCAGGAAAAGGGTCTTCCAAAGTCCATGGAGTACCAAGGGAACACAAAACTATTCCCATGCAAAAGTTAATGAGCTTTGAGTACCCTAAGCTGAGTTCTTAAAAATATGTGGTGCCCTTAATATATTATCTGTTTATTTGTATTATTGTGCCTTTCCTCTTTGGAGTTCAGGTGGATTACACAGAGTGAGGCAGTAAAATCCACGGGGATGGGACATTTGAAGAACAATGCAATAGGATTCAGGAAGAACCAACCAGAGGTCTAAAAACAGAACTCCAGGAAAGCATCAGTATCTACATGACACATGACAGCCTGAATTATCTATGATGAAGATAATATAAACAGAAAAAAACCCTTACAAAATATATAAATCTATATTCTAGTTAGTTGTAACACTTGACATGTGTTCTAGTACACTTTTCATCATACATTTTGTAAGGTTTTTTTCTGGTTTCATTTCATTTCATTTCATAGAAAAAGAGGTGCAGGAGCTCATTAGCATAACTCATTAACATAACTTATTTGCATATGCCACACCCCCTGACATCACCGGAAGTGTGTCAGACAGCAACACCCACTGCAACTTACCTAGCTGCTTCTTGCTCCTCGTGGCCCAAGGCTGCTGGGACCAGGGGGCGGGGCTTGTTGCATGTGCCCGCCCCCTGGGCTCTTTATTGCCGGAGCTCCGCTCCTGTGTGCTCCTACAGGAAATGACCCCTGTATATATTATTTTCATCATAGATAATTCAGGCTGTAGGACCTGACGAAGGCGTGCAGAAATGGGATTCTTCTTACCGGCTCCCTATAGTCTTGTAAGCTTCATGTTGTGAACCTGATCACTCTTTGGAGTGTTAATCACTTGAATTATTGTGCATGAGTTTAATTTTGTTCACATCATTTAAGGTTGTGAATGTATCGTACCTTTACAACAACTGACACAATACAAATATTGCTTATATAATTTATATGTTTATTTCAATCTTAATATACAATCTATTGTATACGGTGCTTTAGTATTTGAATATAACCTTTAGGTGGTGGCTGAAGACCTCCTGGGTTACAACTGACTTCCAGGAGACCGAGATCAGATCACCTAGTAAAAAATGGCTGCTTCAGAAGGTGGACTCTATGGCATTATACCTCTCTGAAGTCCCCCCCCCTTCCCTCCCCAAACCCCTCCCTCCAAATCTTCAGCTATTTCCCAATCTGGAAATCCAAACAAAACATCCATGACAAAAATAACAAAAAGTCAATAAAGATGATATGCAAAATCGTTTACTATAATAATTTCGTAGCAAACTCTCTTCTTATGTCGCTCACACACAATGGATTTTGTGCAATGTGAAAAATATCCATTCCACAGGATTGCTTTATCTGAGCGTGTAGCAATTACAGTTCTTCCCAATTTCCACTTATCAGTTCTCGAAGGAAACATCCCATGTGGACTCTCTGGTATCAGAACCCACGCTCACACACGTTGTGTGTGAGCAATATAAGAAGAGAATTTTCTACGGAATTATTATAGTAAACAATTTGTTGCCCTGCAAGGCACCTATTGCGCTCTTATGGACTCATAAGTGATAAAAACTTGGACTTTGCTAGTTGGGTGCAAAAGGGACTGAACTGTAAGGTGACTCCAAGTGATGCTAGTTATAGACATGTGCCCAGAAGAAGGAAGCCATCCTGTGAGATGATGTGCCTATGGTTCCTGTATGTTACCTTCCCTCTTACCTGCAGTAAGATGGACCAGTTCCCTAGCCACATATGGCACTGAAAAGCCAGACAAGTTGTCATGCCAGGACAGAAGACCGAAGACGGGACTCAAACTCCATGAAGAGTTCTCTTCCTTTCACGTAGGCAATGTTCTATTCCCCCACCTAATACATCACCGAGTCGAAACTACAGCCATAAGACAATCAGGGAACAATGGCTCTGGCCACATGAGTCATAATCCCTTCAGGTGCCATTGTCCAGACCAGACCAGTTTCTATTAGGTCTCAACATTGTCCACCCCATCCCCCTTAGACCCTTCCCCTCGACCCCCAGTGCCAACCAGCATGGTTTCGGGGCCGGACTAGCAGGAGGTGTGTCAAAGGAGATGGCCAAGCCTAGCCCACCCCTCAAGCTCCCTTACAAAAGAGGGCACCCAGCACCATCTGAGAGCAAGTTTGGTGTAGTTGTTAAGTGTGCGGACTCTAATCTGGGAGAACCGGGTTTGATTCCCCCACTCCTCCACTCACACCTGCTGGATGACCTTGGGCAAGCTGTAGTTCTGATAAGAACTGTTCTTGAAAGAGCAGTTTGTTTCAGAGTTCTCTCAGCCCCACCTACCTCACAGGGTGTCTGTTGTGGGGAGGGGGAGGGAAAGGAGTTTGTAAGCTGCTCTGAGACTCCAAGTGAAGGGCGGGGTATAAATCCAATCTCTTCTTCTCTCTTCTTCTCTTCTTCATCTCCTTCTTCTCTCTCTTGACTTCCCCTACACTCCCCCCTATACCAACGACTCTTGTTCTGCGCAGCCAGAGTCTCCACGTGTCGCTGCCGGCTCAGGACACGACCCCACCTCCCCATAGTCTCCCTTGTTTTTCCTGAGCCTCACTCCATCTCGCCGAGGACAGGTAGAGTATTGCCCCTCAACGAAACATCCTGCTAATGCGAATGTGCTATCCTTCTCTCTATTTCCTAGATGCTGTATAATTGTGCATGCGCTTGTGTTGTTGTATGCTTGAAATACCTTCAGTAAACAAAACCATTCTATAGTGAAGTCAGTCTTAGCGTCCATTTTTGGTGTGTCTTGGAGAAGCAGGACCCCTGTATACATAGGTGCTTGCTCCCTTATCTGCCTATTGCCTTGCGTGATATCATAATTCCCCATAGGTGTTAATGATTCATGGCAACTTGGCTAACAAATTTTGCATATCATCTTTATTGACTTTTCATTATTTTTGTCATGGATGTTTTGTTTGGATTTCCATCTCCTCCTGTGATCTCTCTCTTTTGGCTTCGGTTTCCCAAAGTGGAGCTGGTAACCCTACCCCCTAGGACTCTCCCTGGAGGTCTTAATGCTCAAACCACCCGGTAGACAACATCTTCTCTTTCTGTGCTACCTCCCACCCATCTCTCTCTCTCTCTTTTTCTCTCCAGCTGTGACAAAATGGAGAACAGGAAGAAAATGCTGGTAGAAGCCCCTGATAATGTCAACCCCAAGAGCAGGAAATGCGGAGAGATTCCTCCCCTTTCTGCCAAGCAAGAGAGCTGGCCTCACATGACCCCTTTGCCTCCATCCTTGCACAAACAGCTTTTACAGAAGACTCTCCAAGAGGAGAAATGGGCCTTGCAAGAAGAAATCAAGCTGTTCTGGAGAAAAAAACAGGGCCCTGGAAATAACAAATAAAGTCAAATATCTAGGCATTAATATGACAAGTAACAACTTACAACTGTATGAAAATAATTATAAACCACTGCTACAAGAAATTAAAAAAGACTTGGAAAAATGGCAGGATCTCCACATATCATTGATGGGCAGAACGGCTACTATAAAAATGAATATCTTACCGAGATTCTTGTTCCTGGCCCAAACAATTCTGATATTAAAAAATGAAAAAATATGCGAAGAACTAGATAAAATCACGAGAAAATTTATATGGCAAGCAAAGAGAGCCAGAATAAGACTAAAATCGTTACAGGAAAAAAAAGAACGAGGAGGTTTAGGAGTACCAAATTGGAAACTCTACTACAGAGCAGCAGCAATGAGTTGGATACGTGAATGGGTATTATTAGAAGACAGAAGATACAGACATTGAACATCAATCTATCAGCCTGGGAGAAATTACAATTAAAATCAAGATTTGCGAAAGATAAGATAAAAGGATTTATCACAACATATACGAGTCTTGATAAAATCTGGCTAACCTCTGCAAATAAGTTAATACAAAAACTATATAAATTCCTCTTAAATGATGAGACGCAAACAGAACAAATAAAACCCTGTATGAAGGCCTGGGAGAAAGATATAGGAAATTCCATAACTGAGGTAAATTGGTCAAAAATGTGGAATTCAATGAAGATACTAAGAGCCACTGCTTATAAAGAAAACATCTTCAAAATGTTTCACAGATGGCACTGGACGCCAGATAAAGCATTAAAATGTTATAAAAACGTATCCGGAAATTGCTGGAGATGTGAGCGAAATGTTGGCTCCTATTTTCACATTTGGTGGAGATGTGAAAGAGTGGTAAAATTCTGGAAAAGTATAAAACAAACCATCTTAGATATACTAGAAATTGATCTACCGTTGAAACCAGAAATATACTTGCTAAATATCTTGCCAGAAAGGATAAAATATAATGATGCATGTCTGATATTATACATTCTCACAAATGCCAGGATAGCTGTAGCCAAATGCTGGAAGTCTGACAGATTGCCAAGTAGAGAAGAATTAATTATAAAAATTATAGATCTAAAGGAAATGCACAAAGTAAATATGCTACTTGCAGGAAAACTTGACACTGTGTTCAAAAATAGATGGCAGAAACTAGATAGATGGTTAGATATCTATAGATAAGACACTCCAAAAATGATGCAATATCCAATGTATTTATTGTGTGATCTGTATATGACTTAAAAACCAAAATAAAAATATTCAAAAAGAAAAAAGAAAAAGAAAAAAACAGGGCCCTGTGAGTGGAAATCAAAACTTTCTGGGAGGATAACAAAACCAAGACCTTATGGGAGGAAATATGCAACTTCAAACTGAGGAACAAGGCATTCTTGGAGGAGATGAAGAACTACTTGGAAGAGTGGGGACTTTTAGTGATGGAGACCAAGCACTTCTGGAGGAAAGAGCTGGACTTCATGGAAAAGGTGGGAGCTGTTCAGGAGGAGATTGAGGCCTTAAAAGAGAAGATCAAGGCCATGGTGGAAGAGGTTGCTTCCTTTGAGGAGAGGACTGAATCTTTACAAACTGTGGTGAAGGCCTTCCAGGTCAAGAACCAGGAGTTCTGGGAAACCAACAAGGCCATGCAAGAGAAGAACAAATCACTGCAGGAGAAGATGGAAGCCCTCGAGCAGAAGAACGTGGCCTACTGGAAGGAATGCAGGGCCTTCTGGAAGAAGGACAAGGTCTTCTGGGAAGAGGGTGTGGCCATCTCCAGAGACATGATGGTCCTCTGTGAGGAATACATTGCTTTGATAGAGAACAACCAAGACCTCCAAGGAGAAAAGGCAGGGATGTGGGAAACGATAAAAGCCCTTTGGGATGCCAAGTATTCCATATGTAAAGACATCAGTGGGTTTCTGGAAGAACAGTCACAGGATGTTGAAGGTGGCACGGTTGAGAATGGAGCCTACGGAGATCACGACACCCCATCTGGGGAGCTGAAAATCTGTGGTTGATTCTGTTGATCTGGCGGAACCTCAAGAGGTTCATATGTGCTGGCCCCACAACATAGACAAAGAGGCTCCTTTGAGATCAGCAACTCAATAAAATCTTGATGAAAGTTCACGGGGGAAGAGCAAAAGTTTCTTTGCATATCGAGGGTGTCCACCATTGCTCAGGTACTTCATGGCACATCAGGAGATGCCCCAAATTGGTATGCCATGCCCTTAGACTTGTAGTTCCCCCGCATTTGTAGAAATTGATAAGAAACTATGACTGGACCAACGCTCCCTCTAAGCTGTGGAGTCTCATGAGCAAAAATTCAGCTTTGTGAGCTACTGGCACTAAAGTTGTGAGTGAGCGATTTGGCTCCTGCATAAATTAGTTTGCTCTGGAGCCACATCCTTCCTGAGCTAAGGCAAGAATGTGTGAGCCGGAGGCTAAAGAACAGTGAGCTAGCTCACACTAACTCAGCTTAGAGGGAACACTGGACCGGAGGCTGTAAGAGTATCCAGAGAAGTAGCTGGTGGAGAAGGACAGGAAAATGCCTACAGCCAGGTGGTCTGTGATGCACGAAATGCACTCGTGGGCACTCAATGAAATTGCTGAGCAGTCAACTTAGAACAGATAAAAGGAAGTCCTTCTCCACCCAAAGAGGGATTAACACGTGGAATTCACTGCCACAGGAGGTGGCGGCGGCTACAAGCATGGCCGGCTTCTAGAGGGAATTAGATAAACATATGGAGCAGAGGTCCATCAGTGGCTATTAGCCACAAGATACAGGAACTCTCAGTCTGGGGCAAGGGATGCTCTGTATTCTTGGTGCTCGGGGGGGGGGGGCAACAGTGGGAGGGCTTCTAGTGTCCTGGCCCCACTGTTGGACCTCCTGAGGGCACCTGGTATTTCTGGCCGCTGAGTGACACAGAGTGTTGGGTTGGATGGGCCATTGGCCTGATCCAACATTGGCTTCTCTTATGTTCTTATAGGAACTCTCAGTCGGGGCAAGGGTTTTTTTGTATTCGTGGTGCTGGGGGGGGGGGCAACAGTGGGAGGGCTTCTGGTGTCCTGGCTTCACTGCTGGACCTCCTGATGGCACCTGGTATTTTTGTCCACTTTGTGACGCAGAGTGTTGGACTGGATGGGTCATTGGCCTGATCCAACATGGGCTTCTCTTATGTTCTTATAGGAACTCTCGGTCTGGAGCAAGTGATGCTCTGTGTTCTTGGTGCTTGGGTGGGGGGGCCAACAGTGGGAGGGCTTCTAGTGTCCTGGCCCCACTGCTGGACCTCCTGGTGGTACCTGGTATTTTTGGCCACTGTGTGACAGTGTTGGACTGGATGGGCCATTGGCCTGATCCAACATTGGCTTCTCTTATGTTCTTATAGGAACTCTCAGACTGGGGCAAGGGATGCTATGTATTCTTGGTGCTTGGGTGGGGGGGCCAACAGTGGGAGGGCTTCTAGTGTCCTGGCCCCACTGCTGGACCTCCTGGTGGTACCTGGTATTTTTGGCCACTGTGTGACAGTGTTGGACTGGATGGGCCATTGGCCTGATCCAACATTGGCTTCTCTTATGTTCTTATAGGAACTCTCGGTCTGGGGCAAGGGATGCTCTGTGTTCTTGGTGCTTGGGGGGGGGCAACAGTGGGAGGGCTTCTAGTGTCCTGGCCCCGCTGGTGGACCTTCTGATGGCACCTGCTATTTTTGGCCACTGTGTGACACAGAGTGTTGGACTGGAGGGGCCATTGGCCTGATCCGACATTGGCTTCTCTTATGTTCTTATGTTCACTTATCGGTTTCACTTCTCCCTCTCCCTTCTCCTCAGTGGGGACTTAGAGTCCTCTCCTCCATTTAATCCTCACAACAACCTTGCGAGTTCAGCCAGGCTGAGAATGTGTGACTGGCCCGAGGTCACCCAACTATCTTGCATGGCAGAGTGGGGATTCGAACCTGGGTCTCCCAGATCCTAGCCTGACCCTTAACCACTACACCACACTGCCTACTGGATACAAATAGGTGGCGCTTATTGGTGAACCCTCCCTCCAATAACAGAAGTTCATCCTGCAGCGAAGCCAGAAGGGAGAGATTGAAAGAGGAAGACTCCTTCCATGTTTTCACATTTGTTTTTGTTTCGCTTGTTCTGCGACTGTCTTCTTTTGGGGGAAACACAAGACCTAGATACATTCTTCTGCCTTTTGTTTTCCACCACACTTAGCGGTTTTCCAACCTTCAGAGATCCCTTCCCAGCATCTTGACTCAGATGCATCTGCTGAAAAACCCCTGGGAGGTTCAGAGGCATGCTCTAGGGTGCACATTCACTGAATGTGTGGGGCACTGGGCATTAGCAAGGGCTTTTGAGCGTCATACTTCCCATACATGGCCTCAGTGACCTGGAAGATACCCCACAGTCTCTTCTGGGGGGGGGGTCAGAGGCAGGATTCTGTCTGTCTTGCTCAGATCAATGACCTCAGATCAAGGCATGATGACATAACAATCAACCAAGTGGACATAAGGCACCGCTTGAATGCTTTGCATGGATATACGGCGCAGGCAGCATTCAGGAGCAAGATGTGAGTTGGCGTCACATTTCTGATTGTTCCCCAGAGAGCCCTAAGATTGAGCATAGTTCTTATGAATGAGGAGAGGGAGGACAGGTGGTGGTGGAAGGCACTGTTGAGTCACAGGTGACTTGTGGTGACCCCAAAGGGTTTTCAAGAGAAGTGACAAAAAGGCACTGGCTTTCTGTTGCTTGCCTCTGCATAGCAACCCCAAACTTCCTTGGTGCTCTCTCCTATCCAGTTAAAAAACAGGGCCAGCCCTGCTTAGCTTCTGAGATCAGGCCAGTCTGGGCCACCCAGGTCAGGGGGAGGGACCACAGAAGAACGCGGAAGCATTTTGCGAAAGAACCAGGAAGGAGGTGAAGAGACCCAGAAAAAAATAGAAAAAAAGGTGCAGGATCTCATTAGCATAGCTCATTAGCATCACTTATTTGCATATGCCACACCCCCTGACATCACCGGAAGTGTGTCTGAAGGCAACACCCACCACTCAGGCTCCACTGCACTGTTTTGGATTGCTAGCTATTGGGGGGGTGGGGGGAATGTGCAGATCTGTCCTTGCAGAGGAGGGAGAGCTTGTCCCTGAATAAAACTCAGTCTTAAAGGTACCACTGGACTGTTTTGGACTGGGGGGCGGGGGGGCTCTGCAGCTTCCCTGGCTGCTTCTTGCTCTGACTGAGGGCTGCTGGGAGCAGGGGGTGGGGCTTGTTGCATGTGCCTGCCCCCCCCCAGGTTCTTTACTGCCGGAGCTCCGCTCCTGTGCGCTCCTGCAGGAAATGACCCCAGCCCAGAAGTCTACATTTTGGGGGACAAATGGGTAAAAACTACTGGAGACCAAGATGATCTCCCAGACCACCCTCCATGGCTGGATGGAGTGAACCCCCTTTACCTACCAACGAAGAACCAAAGGAAGTTACTTGAGCTGTAGTGATTTCTAAACTCAATCCTCCTGCTAGCAAAGAATTGGGGGTTGATTAGCTGGAGTTGGTCTCCATTTCAGAATCTTCCCCACTCCTCCATCTTCCCTCTCATACATCCAGTTGAGAGGCCACAAGGTGGTTGAGCTACCAAAGGTGATCTCCCCCCAAAGCAGTGGATGTAGCAAAACTCTTCCTGGAAAAGTACTGTTTCGGACTTGCTGGTGTGTGTGGGATGTTGGCAAGTGTGAATTCTCCTCTACTAGGCTTGCCAATATTCCAGGTGGTAGCTGGAGAACTCCTGGGATGACAACTGACCTCTAGGAAACAGAGATCAGTTCTCCTGGAGGAAACGGCTGCTTTGGAAGAGGACTCTGTGGTAGTCCCTCCCTGAAACCCACCCTCTTGAGACTCCACCCCCCAAAATCTCCAGAAACTTCTCAGACCAGCTCCGGATTGGGAAACACCTAAAGATTTGGGGGTGGAGCTTGAAGGAGACATGGAACTCTGTGGGGTACAGTGCCAGATATCCTCCAAAGCATCCATTTCCTCCAGGGGAACTGATCTCTGTAGTCTGGAGATGAGCTGTAATTCTGGGGGATCCCCAGGCCCCACCCAGAGTCTGGCATCCCTATGGGAGGTGCAGAAGACAGACCCTGGGAAGGGAATTTTTACTAGTCCAGACAATACAGATGGGAAGACTGAGAGAGAGAGAGACAGAGAGACAGAGACAGAGAGAGAGACAGACACAGAGAGAGAGACAGAGAGAGACAGACAGACAGACAGAGACAAAGAGGCAGAGAGGGAGACAGAAAGACAGAGACAGATAGAGAGACAGAGACAGATAGAGAGACAGAGAGAGAGAGAGAGACAGAGAGAGAGAGACAGAGAGACAGAGACAGAGAGAGAGAGACAGAGAGAGACAGAGAGACAGAGAGACAGAGAGACAGAGAGACAGAGACAGAGAGACAGAGAGACAGAGAGACAGAGAGACAGAGTGCTAATGGCACCAAATGAGTTCGTAGTCGAGGCAGGATTCGATTGGGCTGCCCAGCTCAGCACTCTGTCTCTTCCCCAGCTGAGCATTTTGACAGGGAATAAATTCTGTTTACTGCGTTGGTCAGCATTGGTTTAACATCTGCGTATTCTCATCAACATTTGCTTGTTTTCAAAGACGCTTGCCATACTCTCCAGGGATTTCCCATGAGCACCCACATCAAGGCAGTTCTCAGTTTTCTATTCCTGGGCCTGGCTGAGTGCTAGAAGGATCTGTCTCAAACTCTCCCCAGAAAACAGGGAAAGGATTAGGAGAATGCCATCAGGGCCCTGAAGGAACTAAACCAATAAATCGCAAAGAAAAACTCTCCGCTTTGTGGGAAGTGATCTGGGAAATTTACAAGAACATGGAAGCCAGTAACATGGACTTCTGGGCACGACCTGTAGAGCCTTGGAAGAAAATCATGGATCTCCTGGAAACAGTCAAGATCCTCCTAGATGATCTAAACCAAGACCCCAAAGAAAAAGTCTCCACTTCTTGGAAAGA